ATGATCAAACGAGGAAATAGGTTCTTAGTTTTAAAAATGCACATTTTCTAATCCATCACCTATTCAACCAGATCAGAACAGGATTACAACCTCTAATTAGATCGCTCTTTTTCTAGTTCAATTTAGGGATATTAAAGTCATAATATAACATAACTAAAGTGCTTCTTTTCTAAGCATAGTTTGCAGTTTACACTGGAAGGACCACATCTGAACCAGGAAGAAAGATTAAATGCAAAGAAAATAAATTCTGGTACAACTTTTGGGCATTTCACAGTCCCATTAAATGTATGCCACAGTGAAATACGGTTCCCTCACTTGGAAAGAGGGCAGTTCAAGAACCTACTGGATTTCTTTATTTTTAGCTATTTTGGCACACATCTTAAAGTTCAAACCTAGAAACATTCTGTACCATTCACAAAGTACATGACAAATTGTAGTGGTTTTTCTAAAATGCCTGACAGTAAACTTGGAAAACTTCTGAACCCGTAATAGATTTTTGCTATATTTCAATTTGGACCAATCACAGGCACGATAAACCATAGGTGACAGGACCTAGATACTGATTTGGAAGCAGAGCCATGTGGTTTGCAGAGTTCTTGCCAAAAAGTAACTTCTACTCAGTCATGTGCCAGACAGTTAAAAAAAAAAAAAAAAAGATTATATTAAAAATTGAGACTATGATTCTAAAGATAATACATTCCAATTACAATATAGGTAGAACCAGAATAACTGAGTAATGTACAGTGAGTAGGATACTTAATTAATTGGACAGACCATCAAATTTCAGGTGCTCTTATTCAGCCTGAGTTTATAAAACTCTTTATATGATTTTATTTAACATATAAAAAAAAAAAAGAAATAAAGAAGGAGAAAAACCTATTCATTTTAGAACTATTCAGTATTCAAGTGGCACTCTTCATAAGTGCAAATAAGATGACCTTGAATTAAATTTCTAGCTTTTCTTTAACAACTGCCAAACTATTTTTAGTTCCAGTTCTCAGGCCATGTCTTATAACTGGAAGTATTAACCAAGTCTAGATCTCAAGTACTTCATGCTCCATTTAAAATAGAACAATTTTCATAACAAGGAATTATTCCTATTCATATAAAAATATGAGATTATTCACAAACTTTAAAAAATGACAAATGCAGACAATTTCCAGCTGACCTTTTCAATCACTACACAATAAACCTTCTACCTTCATTTCATACGAATTCTACAACTAAAATTTCAGTGTTCCAGGTGTGTAATTTTCATATCCAGATATTTGAAGGTGACATACACCCCTCCTGCCAAGAGTCCCCACCACACAGCACTTTGTTTATCAGACTGCAAGAGTAAGATGGAAAAATGAAAGAAAGAAAAGAAAAGATCCCTATCAGAAAGAAATTAAACCATCACAGGATGCTAGCCTATTTCCAGGATTCAATAATGATACATTAGAAGGTGAAGGGGAGATTTATTCAATTACTCTCTCTTAGTAAGTTCTCTAGTGATTACACTTCCTTTGGAAGAAAAGCATGGAGGCATGAGCTTTAGTGAAAACAATCTTTAGTTCTGCTCTTCAATGGCCATTTGATAGTTTAGCATCTGAATATAGCACATTGTATACTATAATTAGACACCATAAAGCATTTAAGTATCAACCCCCCCCCCCAAAATAAAATGCATACTAGAAATCCATTAACTTCACAGGATTACACCAAATCAAAAATTCACACTGATTAGCTCGTTACTATCTTTGGCAGGTCTAATGAAAAATAAAGTTTAGGTTTTTTTCTGAAGATCTACCTTTTTCTAGAAAAATTCTGACTTTAGCACACACACTGTTACTGGAACCTGAACCAGCCTCTTGTATTCTACAAATATATATGAACTTAAGCTTCAGTGCAAAAGAACAAGAGCCAAGTGAATCAGAATGGTATCATATATTGTTTTTCTTGCTTTTCACACTTATGACACTTCCCTGCTGTACTTGTATTAGGAAACAGGTCTTCATCCATCTCAGTATTTACACATGAGCTCCTCACAGTCCCCAGGGTTTGCTGTAACACGTGTCCCTTACATGACCTGTGCTAGAATGGCTTCCTTCATTCACTGCACCAGAACCACTTTGATCTGCTCACAAATGCAGATTTTTTACATGTTACCTTACACTGGTGGCAAATAAACAAATTGTCTCCAGTCATGTTGCAAGAGAAAAGAGAAAGGGTCTTCATCTCTTTGCCATGTCATTAGGCCTTTAAAAGCATCCTACTGGGTTTACTTGCCCATCTACAAATCTTCCTCTTCCTGGTGGGGTGTAATGGTTCCAGAAACCATTAGACTTGGATTAGCCTGCACCTTTTCAATATGTGAGTTGATTAGGGGATGGGGGAGATTGAGCATCTCGAGCTTCACATGTTACTGCCAAAATGCACAGCTGCTCCAACAACTGATTGCTAAATTATTAGGGCAGTGCATTGGGGAAGTACAGTGACATGTTAACAAAGGAAAACTGAGAAATCCTATGTTCCCAAGTAAACTTACTAAACTAAGTATATTAAATTATTTGCAGAAAATTCATACAAGGGAACATTCATGCAAAGAAGTCCTTAGCAAACCTTAGGAGACAAAGTGTACAAAGCTCTCTTCCCAAAATGTAAAGCTTGACAAATAGCTGGATAAATATATGTTAGGAGGAGTTATTCTCCAGACAAAGATGTAAGGCTCTGATTGTTAAAGCCAGCCATTATTCTGGGTTAGTCCACCTACAGCAATACCATATAAAGCCAACGACAGGGTGGCTGGTTTTTATTTGGGGTGGAAGAGTGGGGGGAGGTCTGGCACTCAAAAGGCTCACACAAAAAACCACAGTAGTAATGAATCATAAGTATAAGATTATTCTTATGGGAGAATATACTTTCCTCCTCCAGTGATGAGATCATACAAAAAGCTCAAAAACCATAGCAAACTGAACCCTAGCAGACATCATTCTTTCGCCCAGATGGAATGTGTTCATTCTTTCACATCCCAAGTTCTTAAGCTCAATGCACAGTGACACCAATCCAGTCTGCTGACCTAAGCCTTTTCTTTTTTTTCCTCTCCACAAGAAGTGGATGCTTGGTTTTCTTCTCTCAAGAACTGAAAAGGATAAACATACTTCAAAGATCAAACTCGTATGTAAAACAACACAACTGCAGCCACAGAAAAGATCATTTAAATACACTAACAAAAGCAAGAAAAACTGTGATTGCTCTGATGCTCAACCTTTGGTATTTCTGTCAATAATGTAACAATGAGGGTTTTGAAAAATTATATCCCATTACCACTGCTTCTAGTGATTCAGTTTGGTTTTTTTTTTCCCTGCTATGTTCTCAATTTACAGAGACATAACAACATGTTCTTAAAATGTGCAGTCTTTGCGGGGCAGAAGGAATGGAAAGAGACACTGATTCATCAAACGCCTGTTTAGGATTTTCAAACCATGTGGCACAAAGCTAGAAAGAAACTCTAAACATTTCCAATTCTAACGTCTTAAAAATACACATTTTTGAAAAGCAGCTAAATGCTGGTCCAGATATAAAGTTCTATATCATAGTGGTGGTGTTTTACAAGCTAATTTTTCCTGCTTGTTCCTGAACCCCAACTGGCACATCACAGTGAAAT